CAAGGCAAATAGTTGGGGAAACAATGGAAATAGTGAAAGACTTCATTTTCTTGGGCTCCAAAATCACTGCAGATGGTGACTGCAGCTATGAAATTTAAAAGATGTTTGCTTTTTGGAAGGACAGCTGCAGCTACAGCAAAGTTGCTTCAGTTGTGTCCAACTCCGTGCGACAGCTATGACAAAACTAGACAGCACATTAAAAAGCAGAGACATCACTTTTCTGGCAAAGGTCCATCTGATCAAAGCTTTGATTTTTCCAGTAGTCATGTATGGATGTGAGAGGTGGACCACAAAGAAGTCTGAATGCCGAAGAACTGATGCTTTTGAACTGTGGTGTTGGAATAGACTCTTGAGAGTCCCTTGGACTGCAAGGAGATCCAACCAGTCCATCCTGAAGGAGATCAGTCCTGGGTGTTCATTGGAAGGAGTGATGCTGAAGCTGAAGCTCCAGTACTTTGGCCGCCTGCTGTGAAGAGCTGAGTCATTGGAAAAGACCCTGATGCTGGGAAAGAATGAGGGCAGGAGGAGAAGGGGATGACTGATGATGAGATGGTTGGATGGCATCTCTGACTCAGTGGACACGAGTTTGAGTAAGCTGTGGGAGACAGTGAAGGTCAGGGCAGCCAGGCGTGCTGCAGTCCAAGAGCTGGACAGGACTCGGCAGCTGAGTGAGAACACCTCCTCCTAGACCCCACTCGTGACCCCTCCTCCAGGAGGCCCTCTTGTTCCCTCAGACTGGGGCTCAGTCCCGTCCACCCATAGCTCTTGTGCGGCCTCCTGTCAGGGCACCAGTGACACTACAGGGACTGGTGATGTCCTTTCCCTAAGCTCTGTAGGGGCAGGAATCTAGCTCACTTCTGTCTCTCCCTGTGTCCATCACATCTCCCACACCCACTGCAAGACACTCTACAATAGAGGTGTTGAATAAATAACTGAACACATGTTGGTAATTGTCTTTGAGTGCGTCAAATCACATGTGCTGTAGAAACACACTGGAATAACTTCTAGCAAACCCATCCTTCGTTCTACATTGAATGCCGCAATGAGATTTGGCATACAGCAAAATCAGACAGCTCAGGGAGGTACTGAATGGGCCAGCTGGTGTCCTAGAGTTGTATCATGATGGATGGTGGTCCTTTTCCAAAATGAAATAAGCAAAAATAACAGAAATAGACCCCCTCTTCCCCAAGAGAGAAATTGAGACAATGGGTATTTGGCAAAGGGATTTATTGAGGTCTCAGTAGAACAATTATCACCAGGCTTCTTTGCAAAGGGATCCACCCTTGAGAAGTGCAGTACTGCTGTTTAATAATGTGACTCACAGTATCAGAGGAGGCACCGCCCAGACTATGCAGAGGGCAGTTAGGAAACCGTTTTGTGCTTCCCTTATTGGTGCAAATGTTTTGAAGAAAACTGTCTGACAGCATGTCTTTATCCTGGAGAGGTGTGTCCTATGTGTAACAGGGCCGCCTGTAGCTTGGTGCCCAAACAGAGGACTCTAACGGTCCTGTGAGGCCTGGGACACCAGCGGGCCTTGGTCCTCCACTCACCCAGAGGCCACACTCAGGAAAGGAGGCCTGTGTCTCCCTCCTACTGTCTGCTAGGACCCCTGTCCTTCCTTGAGGGCAACCTGGATGGGATGAACCAGATTCAGGGCCCTGGGCTAGCAGGACAAGGGTGGGTAGGGAGAGCGGTTTGACATTGTGAGCACACAATTGGATATTTTAAAAAACTGGAAGGGAGAATCTCACAGGGGTGCAAACAGACAGACAAACAAAACAGCTCCAAGAAGAGCTTGAGGTTTAATTTCTCAGGATGTCCCCCTTTGACTCAGAGTGCATGTAGTTCACAGCCTTGCTTCCTCTGGAGCTGCTGTGGGCTGTGTCTGGGACTTGCAGGGTGTCAGCTGCTTGGGTTGTGACAGGACAGAGTAGGACTCTCTGGGACTTGCCCCTCGCCCCCATGTCCTCTGCCTGTCTTTTGTCTATAGAAAAACTTTAGCCAAAGAATAACTTTAATAGATGAAGTGAGAAAATACAGAAGCAAAGGAAAGCAGTCAAATAGGACAAAATAATAACAGTGCTTTCCTGGTGGCTTAGACAGTAAAGAATCCACCTGCAATGTGGGAGACCTGGGTTTGATCCCTGGGTTGGTAAGATCCCCTGGAAAAGGGAAAGGCTACCCACTCCAGTATTCTTGCCTGGAGAATCCCTTTGGACCGAGGAGCCTTGCGGGCTACAGTCCATGTGCTGAGCAACTTAGCACAGCACAACACAGCATTATATAATAATAGTCACTAAGCAAAGTCAAGGAACTTTAGTTCTTCCTCAAGAGCTGTAGATAACATGCAAAGCCATATCCTTTGAGATGACTTATAGACACTGAAACTCCCACCAGGGGGAGAAGTTAGCCGCACGATGACCGGAGTGTAGCCGTGATATTGTCGTTCAGTCGCTCAGTTGTGTCCGACTCTGCGACCCCGTGAACCTCAGCACACCAGACTTCCCTGTCCTCATCATCTCCCGGAGCTTGCTCAAACTCATGTCCATTGAGTCGGTGATGCCATCCAACCATCTCATCCTCTGTTGTCCCCTTCTCCTCCTGCCCTCAATCTTTGCCAGCATCAGGGTCTTTTCCAGTGAGTCAGCACTTTACATTAGGTGACCAAAGTATTGGAGCTTCAGCATCAGCCCTTCCAGTGAATATTCAAGGTTGATTTCCTTTACGGTTGACTGATTAAATCTCCTTGCTGTCCGAGGGATTCTTAAGAGTCTTCTCTAGCACCACAGTTTGAAAGCATCAGTTCTTCACTGCTCGACCTTCTTTATGGTCCAACTCTCACATCCACACATGACTACTGGAAAAACCATAGCTTCGACTACACAGAGCTTTGTTGGCAAAGTGATGTCTCTGCTTTTAATACACTGTCTAGGTGTGTCATAGCTTTAAATTGCCACAGTTATGAGAACTGGCCTCAAAGCAATGGGAACAATTCAACCCTAGAACTAAAGACTAACTGTGCTTAAAAGCAATCAAGATGACGCTGACTGGATCATTAATCACCAACTTCAAGATGACTGTCAGAGCTGATTGCCCTATTTCTGCCTGTAGCCCCCTCCCTCTGACTATAAGAACTCTTGCCCGCTGATGGTCAGTGGGGGCAGTTGGCCTTTGGACATGTATTTGCTCTCTACCTAGGTTGCCAGCTTCTGAAATAAAGCAAGCTTTCCTTTCCACCAATCTTGCCTCCAGTGTACTGACTTTAGAGAAGTGAGCGGTGGGACCTCACTTTAGGTAACAGGGAGGCTCCTGATGGGGCTGGTGTGAGAGTGAGAACAATGCTGTTGGGGGTTGGGGGGGGGAGTCTGCAATCCAAGCCAAAGGGAGACTCTGCGTTAGACCAACAATGAATCCACTAAAGTCAAGTTGCCATAAATCAGTATCAAACCTGAAGTAGCTAGGATGAGGCTGCCAAAGGGAATAAAAAACTCTGGGCAGTCTACATTTCTTTTGACTTTCCTAAGGATGCTTTTACCATCTTCTGACTCTGCATCACCAAATTTGCATATCAACTTACTTCTAACTGCTAAAACCCTCAGCAGTGTGATTATCTGGTCAATAACTGAAACTTCATTTACTAGATTTATAGTCCAAGAAATGCAGTCTTTGGAAGTTCATCTTCATTTCTATGAATATATTGCGTATGAGCATGAAATTGCTAATTTGTTTAATGCTTGAGTTCTTTTTTAAAGTGTTTTGTTGTTGAAATATGGTTGATTTTCAATGTTGTATTAGTTTTTTCTAAGCAGCAAAGTGATAGTTACATACATACATATATTTATATAATATGCATTTATATTCTTTCCCATTATGATTTAGTATAGGATATTGAACATAACTCACTGTGTAATGTTTGCCTTCTAATTGGCAGCCCTTGAATATGGATCTTGGTAGTTTTGGGTCAAGGAAAAGACCAGAACTTGAAGCCATATTAGAAAGTAGTCTTCTAAGAGACCTTTTTTCCTTTTTCAGATTTTCTGATTATAAACCTCCTGCTTCTCCTGGAAGTAGCTCTTCCACAGAGCCTGAAAACAACTACACTATTTCTGTATTTATCTTCTTAGGAAAGACATCTTGAAAACGTATATGTGATCAGTAGCTGTGCTTCCCAAGCTCCTATTCCCCGCTCAGCCTGCAGCACTGGGACCGCACCCTGCCCACCCCCTGGCGTGGCCTCCTGGAGATCACGTGCAGTCTTGTGAGCATGTGTCACAGGGGACTTCCTGCTCCTCTTGACAATCCTTGGTTCTTACTGAAATTTCCTCTGGTTTCTCCTCTGCTCATCCTTCTTCTGCCTGTCTGTTCGTTCTTTTATCTGGAAATGCTGTTTCCCAAGGTACCAAGTTTTGTCTTATTCTCCTTGTACTTTCATACTTTTCCTGGATGGGCTCTTTGCTTATGTTATCAGCTCTACACAGATGCCTCTAAAGGTGTGAAGAGTCTAAACCCTCCACCTGAGACTCCAGGACTACTTCTGACTGCCTTCCAGATATTTGCATGACTGTTACACAGGTCCTGCACACGACTTGTTCCTCAGAGAACTTATTGTTCTCAGCCTGTATCCCCAAGCCCACTCATCTTGAATTCTTCACTTCATTTGGTGATACTATAATTCAACCAGGCCCCCAAACCTGAACTGTAGGCACAGATCACTTATTGCTTTTAACCTTCTATCCAATCCATCGTAGAGTCAAGTTGGTTCTACATCCTATAACTGTTCTTCTGTGTTTTAAAGAATATACAGTTAATCTGTTATTATGTAAAACTTATGCAATCCAGAAATAAAGGAATAAAGAGATAAAATTCTTCTTCAATTTCCCTCATACCTAAATCTCACCTCACAATGAAATTCTGTCCACATTCCAAAGAAATAGCTTCCTACCAACTAGCCCTTGGGGCTGGGGTATCCACTCTCACAAGGAGAACCTACCCTGGGGGAGATGGGCTCACAGGCCCTGGACGTGCATGTGAGTGATTCTCTGTCGGAGACACCAGAGCATGAGGTCAAAGAGGGGTCGCGGGTTACAGTGACCGTGGGGAGCAGGGAGGCGGTCCCAGACAGATGAGAGGGCTCCCCTAGAGCAGAGCAAGATGGGCCTTCAAATTGCAGGGTCCAGGACGGGTGCCCAGGGACAGTGCCCGTTGAGAAGGGCTCAGACTAATAATTTAATTTTTTTCTTCATCCAATACTTACTGGATTGTCACTAGAAACTGGAACCTAATGCATATACTGAGCTTCCCAGATGATGCTGATGGTGAAGAACCCGCCTGCCAATGCAGGAGACATAAGAGATGCAGGTTCGGTCTCTGTGTTGGGAAGATCCCCTGGAATAGAAAATGGCAATCCAGTCCAGTATTCTTACCTGGAAAATCCCATGGACAGAGACACCTGGCGGACTACAGTCCGTGGGGTTGCAAAGAGTTGTACACGACTGAAGCGACTTAGCACACACAGGTATACTGCAGAAACAGCTGGTTCACGGGATAGTTCGTCTCCACGGGGTTCTCACCTGTGACAGCAACTTCTGGTTTTAATGAGGTCTTCCCCAATATGCAGGAACATTTCAACTGGTAATGAGGGTAATTCAGTTCAGTTCAGTCACTCAGTTGTGTCCGACTCTTTGCGACCCCATGAATCGCACACGCCAGGCCTCCCTGTCCATCACCAACTCCGGAGTTTACTGAAACTCATGTCCATCGAGTCGGTGATGCCATCCAGCCATCTCATCCTCTGTCGTCCCCTTCTCCTCCTGCCCCCAATCCCTCCCAGCATCAGGGTCTTTTCCAATGAGTCAACTCTTCGCATGAGGTGGCCAAAGTATTTGAGTTTCAGCTTCAGCGCCAGTCAGGTGTCTATATTTTTCTAAATATGCTAAACAAATGTTACGTGGCTAATAGTAGAACTAGATTTTGTAATCATTACAGGATTTAAAATAAAATTCTAATCTAATGTTATTCTTATATAAATTTGATCTTCGAGATCAAATAGGGCTTCATCTTTGAAACTCGCTGCGGCCCATTATTTAGAGTGCACTGCTGCCCTCTGGTGGTCACAGCGCAGTAGGCATTCTCAGTTTATCCCAAGACTCCCTAGAATGGAAACTTTCTTAGGTCTTTGTTAAGATTTTTGACATTCTGAATTTTCTCGTTAAACTTATTTTTCCATTTATTGTTGTTTTCTTGCAAAAAGTCTCAGAGTTACTGAAATTATGCTGAAGTAAAATCAGACAAAATAACTACTCCATGGAGTTTATAAAAAAAATTCAGAGAATCCCAGAAATAATCCCAACAGATTAGGGGAGAAAAAGTTTTTGCTTTAAGATTTATCAGAAAAAAAAAAAAAATGAAAGAATGATCTAGAAACTGGAATGCTCTGCCTAAAAGACAGGAACCTCTTAAAATATGAATACAAAAACTATTATAATACAAAAGTCATTATTGAGTCATAGCAATTTTAAAAAGGTCAAAATAAAAAGACAAATGACAAAGGCCACCTCAACTCCAAATCTAGAGACAGTCATAATAATTGTTTTGGTATTAAAAATGTAGTATTTCAAGTCCATTGGTCACTTTATTAAGCATTATTTCCATTTTCTTTGTGCCTAGAATGTCCATATAAGAATTGCTTAGTGGATATGTGATTTGAAAATGAGAGAAAAACTGGAAGAAAAAAAATATTTTTTTAATTTCAAAGACAAGGAATCTTGACAAATAGTAATTTGGATTTTATTCTAGTGTTAACTTAGCTCCAGATACATACCTATCAACTATTAGATTAGTGAAAACATAATTGTGGTTTCAGATGGTGAATTTTAAATCATTATAACTAGGCTCAAATATATCTTTACTAATCAAAATAGGAACCATTACAATCAACACATTTTTGCTAATGAGATATAAATTTATTTATTCCTATATCATAAAAGATACAGGTGGAGAAGAAGGACATGCATTCATCTTCTCCTGCAAGAACTCCAAAATTACAACTCCCTGCTGAACAACCATTGACAGGAGATGTTGGATCCCACCAAGAGAAGATACTGCACACCCAAGGGCAAAGTAGAAGCCTCAGAAAGATGGTAGGAGGGGCAAAATCATGTTTAGAGTCACACCCCATTCTTGCCAGAGACACTCGGAGGGCTCAAACAAAACCTTGTATGAACCAGGACCCAGAGACCACAGAGACTGAACCAGACCTGTGTTTGAGTGTCTCCTGGAGAGGCATGGGTCAGCAGTGGCCTGCCATGGGGACAGGGCTCTGGGTGTAGCTACCTGGGTCACATAGCCTGTGGCGTAATCCCTCTTGGAGGAGGTGGCCATTAACCCCACCACAGAGCTGCCGAGCAAACGATCCATAAGCTGCAGAACAATTATACCAAAGAAATTCTTGCACTGTTAAGAAAGTTCTAGGACCCAGAACAGATTTCCCAACCTGGGGATCTGGCAAAAGGACTGAGAACCTGCAGGGAATTTGACTTTGGAGGCCAGTGGGATTTGATCACAGAACTTCCACAGGACTGGGGAGACAGACTCTGGGAGGGCACAAACAAAACCTTGTGCACACCAGGACCCAGGAGAAAGGAGCAGTGACCCCACAAGAGGCTGACCCAGACCTGCCTGTAAGTGTCCAGGAGTCTCCAGCAGGAGCGTGGGTCGGCAGTGGCCTGCTGCAGGGTCGGGGGCACTGAGTGTGGAAGTGCCTGCATGGGACCTTTGAGGGAGGTTGCCATTATCTTCATCACCTCCACCATAGTTTGGTCTCAGGTCAAACAACAGAGAGGGAACACAGCCATCAACAGAAAACTGGATTAAAGATTGTAGCATGGCCCCACCCATCAGAAAAAAACCCAGTTTCCTCCTCAGTCAATCTCTACCATTAGGAAGCTTCCATAAACCTCATCCTTATCTGTCAGAGGGAAGACAGAATGAAAACCACAATCACAGAAAATTAATCAAACTGATCACATGGACCACAGTCATGTCTAATTCAATGCAACTATGAGTCAGGCTATGTAGGGCCACCCAAGACAGATGGATCCTGGTGGAGAGTTCTGACAAAATGTGGTCCACTGGAGAAGGGAATGGCAAACCACTTCAGTATTCTTGCCCTGAGAACCCCATGAATAGTATTAAAAGGCAAAAAAGATATAACACTGAAAGATGAACTCCCCAGGTCAGTAGGTGCCCAGTGTGCTACTGGAGATCAGCGGAGAAATAACTCCAGAGACAATGAAAAGATGGAGCCAAAGTGAAAACAGTGCCCAGTTGTGGATGTGACTGGTGACGGAAGTAAAGACTGATGCTGCAAAGAACAATATTGCATAGGAACCTGGAATGTTAGGTCCACAAATCGAGGTAAATTGGAGTTGTCAAATAGGAGATGACAAGAGTGAACATTAGCATTTTAGGAATCAGTGAACTAAAATGTACTGGAATCGGTGAATTTAACTCGGATGACAATTCTATCACTACTGTGGGCAAGAAACCCTTAGAAGAAGTGGAATAGCCCTCATAGTCAACAAAAGAGTCTGAAATGCAGTACTTGGATGCAATCTCAACAATGACAGAATGATCTCTGTTTGATTCCAAGGCAAATCATTCAATATCACAGTAATCCAAGTCTATGCCCCGAGCAGTAATGCTGAAGAAGCTGAAGTTGAACAGTTGTATGAAGACCTACAAGACCTTCTAGAACTAACACCCAAAAAAGATGTCCTTCTCATCTTAGGGGACAGGAATGCAAAAGTAAGAAGTCAAGAGATTCCTGGAGTAACAGGCACATTTGGCCTTGGAGTACGGAATGAAGCAGGGCAAAGGCTAATAGAGTTTTGCCAAAAGAACACACTGGTCATTGCAAACACCCTCTTCCAACAAAACAAGAGAAGACTGTACATATTGACATCACTAGATGGTCAATACCAAAATCAGATTGATTATATTCTTTGCAGCCAAAGATGGAGAAGCTCTATACAGTCAGCAAAAACAAGACCAGAAGCTGACTGTGGCTTAGATCATGAAATCCTTATTGCCAACTTCAGACTTAAGTTGAAGAAAGTAGGGAAAACCACTAGATGATTCAGATATAGCCTAAATCAAATCCCTTATGATAACACAGTGGAAGTGACAAACAGATTCAAGGGATTAGATCTGATGGACAGAGTGTCTGAAAACTATGGACACTGTACAGGACATTATACAGAAGACATTGATCAAGACCATCCCCCAAAAAGGAAACGCACAACGGCTGTCTGAGGAGGCCTTACAAATAGATGGGAAAAGAAGAGAAGCTAAAGGCAAAAGAGAAAAGGAAACATATACCCATCTGAATGCCAAAGAATAGCAAGAGTTCCAAAGACTAACAAGGAGAGATAAGAATGCCTTCTTCAATGATCAATGCAAAGAAATAGAGGAAAATAATAGAATGAGAAAGAAGAGAGATCTCTTCAAGAAAATTGGAGATACCAAGGGAATATTCTATGCAAGGATGGGCACAATAAAGGACAGAAATGGCATTGACCTAACAGAAGCAGAAGATATTCAGGAGAGGTGGCAAGAATACACAGACGAACTACACAAAGAAGATCTCCATGACCCAGATAACCACTATGGTGGGATTACTCACCTAGAGCCAGACATCCTGGAATGTGAAGTCAAATGGTACTTCGCTTTAGGTGATGGAATTTCAGTTGAGCTATTTCAAATCCTAAAAGATGATGCTGTGAAAATGCTGCACTCAATATGCCAGGAAACTTGGAAAACTCAGCAATGGCCACAAGACTGGAAAAGGTCAGTTTTCATTCCAATCCCAAAGAAAGGCAATGCCAAACTATTGCACAATTGCACTCATCTCACATGCTAGCAAAGTAATTCTCAAAATTCTGCAAGCCAGACTTCAACAGTATGTAGCCATGAACTTCCAGATGTTCAACCTGGATTTAGAAAAGGTAGAGGAATCAGAGATCAAATT